CCCGGAAGCTGTACGCCAGCTCCCTCGGCCAATAAAGCAAGATGAGCACCGCAACCACAGAGTCGGTCATGAAACTGTGGCAGTGGCTGCCCCTTCCAATTGAGGAAGTGAGAAGCTGCAACCCATGTAAACCATAACAAAGACGTCCTTTGTGCTACTTGACTTTATTTCACTCGCCAAGGGTGCTTAATGACTGATTTATAGATGCCATTTGCTTTGTATGTGGCATTGGGTTCCAGAATGCTTGACTGGCACACACTGGCATCAGTACCAGCTTACAACAAAGGGGCCATCTCTGCTTTAATGGCACGCTCATTGCTCAGAGTAAAGTCAAATCACGGACACAGTTTTGGGGCATGCACAGGGTTCTAAAATAAAGCAACCAACACAGGATGACCATATTTCCAAGCTGCAATGCCAAATTTAGCATCCCTTGTAAGAGGAGCACATGCACTGGCATTTTCATCCATTTTCATGTTTTTGCATTGTAGATGTATCAACTGTCACCGTGCAGCACAGCACAGACTTTCCCATTGCTCCTGGAAGCCAGAGCAACCCCATGCCTGCGACAAGTGATGGCATTAGCAGCAGAGACCTTTTAGATTTCTTACACACTATCCATGCCGCAGGTAAGTCAGCAGCCCTAAAGCATAGGATTGTGGTTTACAAATGCCCATCAGCTTGGCTGCCGTTTCATACGCCTTTGGTTTTTTTATACAGTAAAATCTCTCGAGAGGCGCATGGCTGTGCTTGAGCAGGAGCTGCAGGAGCTAAAGAGAGAGAGAATGAAGACTAAGTAGCAAACCACCTGCATTCTAGAAGCCAGTCATGAAGAATGGAAGGAGAACGTAAACAAGAACATTAGATCATTGTCATGTGGCACACTGTTCCTTTTCTTTTACTAAAGACTTTTTGAAAACTCATTGTGAATTGTTTGCAAGGCACTTTAGGGCAAAGTCCCTTGCCCTTCTAGCAGTGCTGTCTTTCTACCATGAACGCCTCCCTTGTAATGGCAATGGTGTCCACCTGCAAGGTGCCCTGCTTTCTAGCAATCCCAGTGCCACATCCCCACCTGCTACAGTCCCCAGTGAGGTGCCCAGATGCTGCTTCAACTTCTTGGGGTCATTTTCAGTTGATGCAGCCTAATGACATAGACAGGGACGCGGGTGGCGCTGTGGGTTAAACCACAGAGCCTAGGACTTGCCGATCAGAAGGTTGGCGGTTCGAATCCCCGCGACGGGGTGAGCTCCCGTCACTCGGTCCCTGCTCCTGCCAACCTAGCAGTTCAAAAGCACATCAAAGTGCAAGTAGATAAATAGGTACCGCTCCAGCGGGAAGGTAAACGGTGTTTCCGTGCGCTGCTCTGGTTTGCCAGAAGCGGCTTAGTCATGCTGCCCACATGACCCGGAAGCTGTACGCCGGCTCCCTTGGCCAATAAAGCGAGATGAGCGCCGCAACCCCGGAGTCAGTCATGACTGGACCTAATGGTCAGGGGTCCCTTTACCTTTACCTTTAATGACATAGACAAGGTCCTCATGGAGATGCAGATAGCAACATGTCTGCTCAAACCTTGCTGCTCACAGCTTACTAAAACTTGCTAAGGGGGCATGGCTGAGCAGCTATTATTACACGGTTCTGCTCTTAACTGCCTGGTTGCTACCAAGATGCAGTACTAGGAGATGGTTGCGTTGTTCTGTGTTCTGTTTTAAGCTGTGAGGTCCTGTAAGAATCCATTCTGTATCCTATGATAGTCAACATCCATGAGACTGCAGGGAGATACCAATCCAGAATTTTGGTGCATGGTCTCATCGGTATGCAGAATACAGATAACTCTCATATTGCATTCCATCAGAATCAAGAGAAGTTGGGAAAGTGTTTGACTGATGGGCAGGATGGGTGCCAATAGTAGGGCTGCCATATGTCCTCTTTTTCCAGGACAAGTCCTCTTTTTCATGATGAGACTCTCCAGAGAGAGCCATAGTTAAATGTGTCCTCTTTTTTTGCTCTTCAAAATATGGCAACCCTACAGTAAAGAGAGGCTTTATCCTGATAAGGCAGAGGTGCTGAGGGTGGTGCTTTGTTGTCCAGGAAGTAGTCGTGCAGCTTGTTCTGCCTTCCTCCTTTCCCTCTTAAATACCTTGCAAGCTTTGCCACAACAGCACAATTGTACAGCCTCTCTGCTCATTCTGATTCGTGCCTTTCCCTGGCATCTAGCATAAAACAATCTTACTGTATATGGCATATTAATCCTCTTTGTTGCACTGGGAGCTTTTTAATATGGCTTAATAAAAAGAAAGACAGGATCCAGATCTAATTGTGTGCATATTAATCTCCCTATTCCGTTTCTTATTTGAGACCAAAATCCCTTTCCCAAGAAACCAGAGGCCTTCCTTCTGGGCATTGTTGGCCAGAAAGTGTTAAAGAAGGATAGAACTTTCTTTTTGTATGCAACTACAGCAGCAAGAATTCTTATCGCCAAATATTGGAAGACACAAGATTTACCCACGCTGGAAGAGTGGCAGATGCAATTGATGGACTACATGGAACTGGCTGAAATGACTGGCAGAATCCAAGACCTGGGAGAAGAAACAATGGAGGAGGACTGGAAAAAATTTAAGGACTATTTACAAAAACATCATAAGTTATATGAATGCTAAGAATTTGCATGGTTTGGAAAGTCTCGCTTCAGCAACAAAATTTGATGATTTGGGAAACTAAGTTATAATTACGAAAGGACCAAAGTTTAAAGTAATTTTTATGCCTATTTTAGGACAAAAGTAATCTGATAATAAGTACCTTAAACTTAAAGTATAATTATTTGAAAGTACAAAAAAATGCATGAAACAAGGTAATAATTTGCTGATATTTTTATTAAAGAATGCAGGGTGAGGGAGATGTGGGGAAGTCCAGTTGGTTATGAAAAAAACGTTCTGGAAAGATGAAATTCTTTTTTTTTATTTTTTATTTTTCTGTTCTGTTGCTATTGTTATGTATCTGACTATATATCTGTACCTGGAAGAAAGCAATAAAAAACATTATTTAAAAAAACAAAAAACAAAATCCCTTTGCTTTGTGACGAAGCCGCTATAAATAAAGTTTCCAATGTGGATCGTTCTACATTTCCAGCATTTATTAGCTAAGTTTCCAGTTGTCTTTTGAATTCTTTCAGGGTCCATATACCAGCTATCATTTTATAGGAGTTGTCATTAGCATTTGACATAATGAAAACTTAAGGCCAGTTTCCCAAATGTACTCATATGCAAGAGTGGCTAGGTAGTGGAGCAGGGTTGCAAAGCTGCTCTTCCAATAGGAGCATCACTGATGCTTACCTGGTTGGTATGGGGCCAGGGAGGTGGCAAGAAACAGGGCTGTGAGGGTGCACTGATGCAATCCTGACCTCACAGACATACTCCCACACTGGACAGGTTGGTGGCAGTGACATCACTTTTGGGAGGCTTCAAATATTTTGGTATATATATATATATATATATATGCTTTCGTAGATTTTCACGGGTACAGGAATGCAGGTTTTGGTGTCCTCGGGTGTCTTCCCGTGTAAAAGTTGGGGTGTCTAGGCGACGTTTCGACGAGGTCTCACTCGTCATCTTCAGGCTGGTGCTTTCGGCTTCCAGTAACAAGAAGCCGAAAGCACCAGCCTGAAGATGACGAGTGAGACCTCGTCGAAACGTCGCCTAGACACCCCAACTTTTACACGGGAAGACACCCGAGGACACCAAAACCTGCATATATATATATATATATATATATATAATCATGTTGTGATGACTGGTGCTTAGCAGCACTGAAATTTAAATGCATCTGGTGAATTTATTCCAACGGCTGATTGAGGAATCAGATTTTTTTTCCTGCTTGTGAGTTAAAACCCCTAGGTGCCCTGTGCCATGGCTTAATCTGGGTTTTACTAGCGTCACCAGAACCACTTTTTATCTTTTTTATTCTGTTGAGGACTTTAAAAGAGGAAGATGAAAAGAGTGAAAGGAAAGAGAGTGAGTAGAAGAAAATAAGAGATGGTAAAAAACAGAGGGGAAAACACAGGGAGGAAATGAGAAAAATGAACATACATATATGGTTAAACGCTAAACTTTGGAACGAGAGTCTAAAATTCACTGCATGCTCTGCTTTAAAAGAGAATGCTATGAAAATGGTCTATCATTGGTATCTCACTCCCACCAAACTGGCAAAAATGTATAGGACAAGTAGCAAAACTTGCTGGAAATGCAAGGAAAAGGACGGCGTTTTTCACCACATGTGGTGGTCATGTAACAAAATAAAAGAGTTTTGGGAATCGATCTATAATGAGTTAAAAAAAGATGTTTAAATATACTTTTCCAAAAAAGCCTGAAGAATTTTTGCTAGGCTTGGTGGGAGAAAATATTAAGAAGACAGACCAAAGACTATATTTGTATGCAACAACAGCAGCTAGAGTTTTGATAGCCCAAAAGTGGAAGTCACAGGAGATTCCGACTGTAAGGGAATGGCAGATAAAGTTGGTCGAAAACGCTGAAATGGCAAAATTGACACACAGAATTCGCAATCAGGAGGAGACGAAGTACCAAAAAGAATGGAGTGAATTCATGGTTTATATAAGTGAGAATTGTAGAAATATGAAAACGTTGGCAGGATTGAATTAAATCTTATGTCACGGTGTAATTTTTAACCCATGAAACTGTGAATTATAGATTGGAATAAGAAAACTTGCAGAAGGGAAGGACGGAAGTCAATGGCTCTATGGAGCATAAAGTAGGATATATGTAATAAGATGTGATGTTTTTGTTGGTTGGTGTTGGTGTTCTTAAATCTCAGTAAAAAGCGTTGGGGGAAAAGATACATATATGGTTAAACATTGAAAAGTGATTTCCATGATACAACTTAAGGTCAGAGCCAGGACTGAAAATATTCATTAAATACTGGTATAAACCTTCTTTTGTAATACACAGTGCTTTCTCTAGATTGACAAAAATCTCACCTATGAGTGCTGAATTTTTTGTTATTGTGCTTTAACTGCAATTAACGTAGAGGTATACATCTTGGATAGTCCAACTTGCCCTCTCTGCATCGGGCTCTGAAGGGAGGTGAGGATGGATCTGGCCCAAAGCCCCATTTGCAGGCAAACTCTGTCTCGTCTCCAGATACTGTATATAATTTTGCACTGTATCTCCACTCCAGTCGGATATTGTTCTGATTCATATCTTCTTCAGTTCCTATACAAGGAGCTGCAAAAAAGCACAAATCATGTCATCATAGAGATTAATTTGACAATGAGGAGTTCACTTGACAAATAAAACTTTTGGGCTGTGCCCAAAGTTAGTCATACCCATTGAAATCAATTGAGGTTCATAATGTAGTCCCATCCATCAGTCTCCTCTGAGAAAAACTACCATACTTTTTGCTCTATAAGACTCACTTTTTCCCTCCTAAAAAGTAAGGGGAAATGTGTGTGCGTCTTATGGGGCGAATGCAGGCTGCACAGCTATCCCAGAAGCCAGAACAGCAAGAGGGATTGCTGCTTTCACTGCGCAGCGATCCCTCTTGCTGTTCTGGCTTCTGAGATTCAGAATATTTTTTTTCCTTGTTTTCCTCCTCCAAAAACTAGGTGCATCTTGTGGTCTGGTGCATCCTATAGAGCGAAAAATACGGTAAGTGAAAGTTAGTTGAATACAATGCTTTGCTTGTAGGGTATGAACAGCTTGTGATGAAATGGACTAATAAATTGACAGACTACATATGCAGGAATTTTATATTATTCATCCATTTGGCCAAGAACTATTTCTTCAACTTCTCAGGCTAAAGTCTTTACAAGCCATGCACAGAGAGATTATTTTAACTGAAACCAGACCCTTCTGCGGGCATATTATGTTCATTGTCACTGACCATTCTCAAAAGAGCAACTCTAATTTGCCTGGCTGTGTGCACAGATCCAGAGAGTGAACTGGAGGTGCAGAAATACAGAGGTGGAAGGGACTTGGAAATTGTTTCTAGTCCAACCCCTTGCTACAATAATAATAATAATAATAATAATAATAATAATAATAATAATAATAATAAAAAACAACCATCTGGCTGGGTTTCCCCAGCCACTCTGGGCAGCTCCCAACAGAATATTAAAACATGATAAAACATCAAACATTAAAAACTTCCCTAAAAAGGACTGCCTTCAGATGTCTTCTAAAAGTCAGATAGTTGTTTATTTCCTTGGCATCTAGTGGGATGCAGACTGGTGGCTGGAAGTGGCAGAGGGTCTTTTCGGTAGTGGCGTTCGCCTGTGGAGCACCCTCCCTTCAGAGGTCAAGGAAATGAACAACTATCTGACTTTTAGAAGACATCTGAAGGCAGCCCTGTTTAAGGAAGTTTTTAATGTTTGATATTTTATCATGTTTTTAATATTCTGTTGGGAGCTGCCCAGAGTGGTTGGGGAAACCCAGTCAGATGGGCAGCATACAAATAATAAAATTATTATTATTATTATTATTATTATTATTATTATTATTATTATTATTAAATAAGGAATTGGAACTCATGACTCCACTCATTTTGCCTTATGGGAATGCTATATGTAGTTCCTGGGAGGATCTGGGATGGAACAATGCCAGCTGACAGCACACTTGTGCCATTAAGTCACAGGTTTTTGAACTTAGAGAATATCCTTCAATAAAACAGCAAAAGCAAAGATTTACAGAAATTTCCTGTACCTTTGCATGTTGGTGTATCTGTCCAATGCCCGTTGACACATTGTACATATTGATTTCCTTGCATATTGTGGAAAGCTTGGCACTTATACTGTACTTGTGCCCCTGGCATATATTCCGAAGTTGTCGTGCCCAGAAAGTCTCCATTTTCAATACGAGGCGGAGGACCACATTTTCCTGCAGCATCTGTCATGATGCATTGAAACAGAAAAAGGAATCTATTACATGGCACTTACTAGGGTTACACATATGGCTGTGCACACAAGCATTTCTATAATTCAGCTTAATTATTTAATTTAAAAATTAATATATATATTTATATATGGGACACGGGTGGCGCTGTGGGTTAAACCACAGAGCCTAGGACTTGCCAATCAGAAGATCAGCAGTTCTAATCCCCACGACGGGGTGAGCTCCCGTTGCTCAGTCCCTGCTCCTGCCAACCTAGCAGTTCGAAAGCATGTCAAAGTGCAAGTAGATAAATAGATACCACTCTGGCAGGAAGGTAAACAGCATTTCCGTGTGCTGCTCTGGTTCGCCAGAAGCGGCTTAGGCATGCTGGCTACATGACCTGGAAGCTGTACGCCAGCTCCCTCGGCCAATAAAGCGAGATGAGCACCGCAACCCCAGAGTTGGTCACGACTGGACCTAATAGTCAGGGGTCCCTTTACCTTTGTGTGTGTGTGTGTGTGTGTGTGCAGTGGCGTAGAGTGGGGGTGCAGGGGTGCCGGCCGCACCGGGCGCAACATCTGGGGTTAGGGCAAATCCACAGGTTAGGGGGCGCAAATCCACGGGTTAGGGGGCGCAAATCCATGGGTTAGGGGGCGCAAATTACTTGCCTTGCCCTGGGTGCTGACAACTCACGCTACGCCACTGTGTGTGTGTGTGTGTGTGTGTGTGTGTGTGTTGTGATGAATCCTATTCAGAATAAGGGAATTTCCCTTAAAAAAAAGGGAAACATTGACAGCTATGCTGGAAGGACTCAGGTTTTCCCAATCACAGACACTGTGCTTGTTAAGTTACCAAAGTACTTCAAATAGATAAAATAGATTTATACCCCACCCATCCAGCTGGGCTCCCCCAGCCACTCTGAGTAGCTCCCAACAGAAAATTAAAAGCACGATAAAACATCAGACATGTCTTCTAAAAGTCAGATAGCTGTTTATTTCCTTGATATCTGATGGGAAGGCGTTCCACAGGGCAGGTGCTGCTACTGAGAAAGCCGTCTGTCTGGTTCCCTGTAACCTCACATCTGGCAGTGAGGGAACCACCAGAAGGCCCTGGGAGCTGGACCTCAGTTTCCAGGCTAAACTATGGAGGTGGAGATGCTCCTTCAGGTATACTGGGCCGAGGCCGTTTATGACTTTAAAGGTCAACACCAACACTTTGAATTATGCTTGGAAACATTGTTCCAGCAACTACCGTAATTTTCATAGTATTAGTACCTCTATTTTACAGAATGGGGACTGAAGCTGAGAGGATACTGGCATGCTAAAGATAATGCCTGAAGGCAAGATATGAACTAGGATTGTCTCTCTCCATATCTCACATGCTTCATGGTGGTGCTTTACTAAGGAGAAACAATTATTTGAACCTTTCCGAAATATATCACATATAAAAGAAATTAATGAAGCAACCCTATATGCATGTCAGAAGATGGAATTTCTATCAAAACAGAGGGGGGGAGTTCTTACGTAGACAAATGGGCACTTTTGTCCAGTTCCCATTGTTACAAAAAGTTCTGTTTTCTCCTTCCATGGCATAATATTTTTGGCATTTGAATTCTACTGAAGAGCCAGATGCATATTGCTTCTGTGATAAGGTGATAATGTCTCCATTCTCAATAGTGGGTGTGTGACTACAGTTTTTCCCCATTTCTAGTAAATAATAAAGTGATAGGAACAGTGACTTAGTACAGTTACCAAAGGTCAAAAATAAAGGGCTTTCAAATCCCTTTGTTCATATCAGGCATGTTGAGCTAGAGTATTTCTCTCTCTCTTGGGATACAGTGGTACCTCGGGTTACGAACTTAATTCGTTCCCGAGGTCCGTTCTTAACCTGAAACTGTTCTTAACCTGAGGTACCACTTTAGCTAATGGGGCCTCCCACTGCCACCGCGCGCCACTGTGCAATTTCTGTTCTCATCCTGAGGTAAAGCTTTTAACCCGAGGTACTACTTCCAGGGTAGCGGAGTCTGTAACCCAAAGTGTTTGTAACCCAAGGTGTTTGTAACCTGAGGTACCACTGTATTTGAAACAGAGGAAAAGCCAGTTCCAACTCAGATGCAATAACATGGCATCTAACTAATGCAACCAAGGTATTCAGCTCCTGGCTGCAAATTGATTCCCTCAGAATACAATGCTTTGAAGGAAGAATTTCAAGACGTGGTGTTGCCCTTTGTCTTCTCCACTCTGTGGTTGGAAAAGACTAGTGGCAACACCTTGCGCAGTGCCCTGACTCTGGCTGAGTTCTTGCAGGCAGCACTGCTGCTTGTCTTCCTCACCCTGGGGTGGAGAACACGAGTGGTGATGTCTTGTGGAAACCACGGCTCTCGCTGCATTTGCAAGAGGGGGGCATTTTGACAGCAGCGGAAGTTAGGGGTGGAGTGCAGTGGGGGGGGTCAAGGGACTACACACTCCCTTTTCACCTCAGGTGGCTAAACTGGACACATCACCTCTGGTCCCAGATGAACATGCTTCTTGTGTGCAAATGCCGTATGAATAAAAACTGGATTTCTAGCAGAATCAAGCCAATGTCCACTGGACAGAGAACAAACACTGGGGCCATGCAGCCCCTCAGATGGTTTGGAGACTCTCTGTACCAATGAGAAAGACAGCACTGGAAGCGTTCACTTTTGAACTGGAAAGCGAGGTAGTTATAGACCATTTGAACATTTAAATAACCACGGAGTAATTTTTCAATATGAACAGCATGTTTACCAGAGATACACAACGGCAAATCCATGTGCCCATCGATACACTTCCGGACTGAAGGAGCTGTGATGACATGTCCTTCCTTGCACTGGAATTGCAGGAACTGGTTATGCTGAATCACCTGGGACCGTCTTCGCTTCCCAGGCAGGAACAGGTCTTGTGCATCTAGCTGTTGTTTTGTGATACCACAAGGTGCTAAAAGAAAGAAGGGAGGGGAGGCGGGGATCATCACTAGGACTCATTTCTCTGTGTGTCCTATTCCATTTGCCCTCTTTGTGCTTCAAGGTTACCTCATATCTGTTACCTCATATTACCTCACACAATAGGGACAAACTCATTTGCTGCACCCACTCAGTCATTCATTGTGGTTTCTGTCAACTTCCATGTAAGTCCTGAAAAAACCCATTAAGGTCAACATGGGAGTAAAAACAGTCTCTCTCTCTAACTTGCCACCCACTGAAATGTATGGGGATGTATTTAATAGCACCACCCTATAGATGCACTTCAGAAGTAACTCCCATTCAGTGCAATGGGCTTAATGCTTGGGATGGGGTATAGGATTACAGCCTGTATGTCATTGGACTGTGACCCTTTTCTCCCCCCCCCCCTCACAGTCTTGAGAAAAGGAACAAGAGCTCCAAGATGCAAACTGGCCCAAAGTGACACCTTGATTCCATGCTGGATGTAGGATGTGAATTCAGATCTGGTCGAACTCTCAAACAATATGGCAACTCTGGCTATCGATGTTTGCACTAAATAACTCTGATCCAGAATGTGAATTCTCTAGTTTCCTCAAATTACAGCATTCTGCCCAATTATGCAAATTCATTGATCCATATTAGCAGAATTAAAGTAGCCATACAGTGTAAAGTAGAGGGATCTGTGATCCCTCAAATATTGTTGAATTATACCTCATATCATGATGGGAGTTGCTGTACAACAACAATCCAGAAGGCCAGCAGTTCCCAATTCTTGACAGAGTGTTTAAGTCCTCAAACATGCAGAAAGCAACTTTGCATGCAGATGAGTTTCCAGAGGAAATGTTGGACACCCCACATTTTGATTTAGAGTTTGCAATATTGAAAGTCAAGATGCCTCCTTACCCAAACACCTGGGTGCAGGTGTCCACTTTTGCCCACGACATGTTATCCATTCAGTGCCTTCCAAGACATAGCCAGGGTTGCACTTGTATTGTGTTCTGTCACCCTCCAGGTATCTGGCCTTCTCATCACTTATCACTTCCCCAAAATCAATGTCAGGTGGTTCTTCACAAACTGCAATTATATTTACCCTCAATATCAACATTCTCCCATTTTCCTGAAAGCACAGTAAATGTCAGGGACTGTGCTGTGGAAGACTGCACTGAGGAGGAATGGTGGGAGCCTCCTCCTGCTCCTGCTCCTGTACTTCCCAAAATGGTGAGCCCACCCGCTCCTGATCCAGATCCTGAATTTTCCCAGGAGGACAGTATAGATTGGGAACAGTGGTTTGCAGAGGGGCATAGTTCAGAAGGCAGAAGCTGGGATATACTGGATGGTGAACATCTAGAAGAAGAAGCACTGGAAGGGAAAGGGTTAACAGATTCACAGTCTCTAGACGGCATTCCTCCACCGCCCTCCCCAAAGCTAGAAGGGCTCAGAAAGTCACACAACAGAAAGCACAGAGGGGACAAGCTCAGATTACGAGACGCAGAAGTGACGTAGGTTCATAGGGACCGAAGGGGGTGGGCTATTTAATTGAGAGCACCGCTATCACTAGGAGATGGGTTCTTGGTTCTCTTGCTGTGATTACTAAAGTTTCTAACTAGTAAGAAGAATCCTTTTCCTTTGTTCTGCTTATCTACAGCCACAGGGGAGGAAGCCAATTCCCTGAAGCCTGACAGTAAATAATTAAAGCAGTACTTTGAAACCAAATACAAGTCAAATATTTCCCATTATTTATTTATTTTAAATAAGCTGATGCTATCATTTTAATGTTATGTTAACGTTTAGATGTTATTTAATATTTATCTGTTATAGCCTTATAGTTTTTGAACTAACTATAACTGGTAAAACACATTTTGAAGGTTGGAACTCTGAAAGACACATTAAAAATGTGTTAAATAAATGCATCTTAAATCCAATATTTTTCAAAATAACCGTCTATATTGGTAATCTTCAAGTATAAGCATTTATAAGGCTGAAATGCTCTACCATTAACAATATAATCATCAACATCATCAACATCATCATTTATTATTTGTACCCTGCCCATCTGGATGGGTTTCCCCAGCCACTCTGGGCAGCTTCCAACAAAGATTAAAAATACATTAAAATGTCACACATTAAAAACTTCCCTAAACAGGGCTGCCTTCAGATGTCTTCTAAATGTCAGATAGCTGTTTATCCCTAGGACATCTGATGGGAGGGCATTTACAAGTTGATATATTAATAAAATCATTACCGCTAAGTATACTGTTGAGCTTTTCATACATTAAAAAGTGTGGGCTCACCATTTTGGGAAGTACAGCATGTCCACAGAAGAAATGGAAGAACGGAGAACAGCCAGCTTTCCATAGTGTTGCTTGTTGCTCTGGACCACAGGATACTCACTTTCTACAACTAATTTTTCTAATGACTGTCCTTGCAAAAAAAATCACTGGTGGTTCATGGCTCTCTGCCATGAGAGGAATGGGGAGGATTACTGGAATGGGGAGGATTACTGGAATGGGGAACATGAACTTTGAAACCAACAAGGAGTGCTTGCAAAAGATTGGCATTGGCACAGCACTTGGTGTGGTGATGGCAGCTAGGCAGAACAGCAACAAACCTTTCTTACCAAGTTGCAAACTCCTGAGAAAGCCCTTTTAGCTGTCCTCTAACAGCAATGTGCACTACTAGGAAGGGCCAGCTCAGCCCCACCAGTGGCAGAGAAGCAGCACCAGCACTGAAGCCAATTTGGGGTGAGATTGCATCCATTTCGGGTGAGACCTTGCCTGAAATCGGCACGCTTTCACTTGAAATTGGCAGCAATGGAGGCACAAGGGCCAACTTATCCATTAGGGTTAGTGGCGCCCTGCGCCAGGGCACCCGCCCATCAGTGGCACCCAGCAGCAGGAGTCCGGAACATGCTGGGCGGCGGTGGCGGCTCTTCCTACGGCCAGCTGTGCTCTCTCGCTTCCTGCCTGGGAGAGGAGGTGGTGGTGGTGGCACGCAAAACTACATGGCGCCCTTCTCCCTCCTGCCCGCCCCGTGGCAGTAGCGGGACTGCTGAGGAAGCCCGCGTGGCAAGTGAGCCTTGAGCTGCCCAGCTCAGGGGGCGAGGAGGACGAGGAAGGGGAGAGGCACCAAGAACATCACTTGCACCACGGCGCCAAATATGCTTAAGATGGCCCTCGGAGGCACCACTTCTCTGCCAGTGCCAGATGTTGCAGGGCACACAGTGGAGGCAGTGGTGGCAATGGGTCGTTCTAAAGGAATTATAATATGGATAATTAAAGGTTGCATTGAGCTTTATTCCATGAAAGAAGAAAGGGTGAATCTATCCCACTCACTTGAGTGGACTCAAAGCACAAACAGTCACATAGAAAAAACAAGTTCCTGCCAAGTAAATTCCCAGGAACAATGCGGATGTAATAACTTGCCATCTGTTTGCTTAAAAAAAAAACCTGATTGTGAAATATTAAGAAATGCCACATTCTGGATGCTTATCAAAATAGGAAATATTACATTGTTTCAAGATCCCAGTTTCATGGATTTTGCACATAGCTGTCAAGCGTCCCTTATTTGGCGGGACAGTCCCTTATCCCAGCGCCATGTCCCGCTGCTGTCCCTTATTGATGATGTCAATTACTGAAGGTAATGGGGCCCTTTCTATGTCCAGCTGTCCTTTGTCAACAACTAATTGTTGCTGTTTTTTTGTGTTGAATATATGCTATGTGGTAATTTATGGACCTAATAGGTATCTAAAGCCATTTTCATGCAAGAAAATATGTATTTTATCAAAACAAAAAAAATTATTTTATCAAAGTAATTGTTGATCCCTTATTTTGGCTGCTGATCCCTTATTTTCGAGGCTGCTGGTCCCTTATTTTCAAATCTGTAAGTTGACAGCTATGATTTTGCACTGTTGCTTTATCTATTCACTTCCCTATTTCAAGGGGGGCTAGTTCACAACAGCCCTCCTCCAATCATTTCAAATACTATAAGTGAAGACAGCAACCGTGTTAAGAGAGATGTTGAAGACTTCCTTGTTTCAATAGGCTTTGGGGAGCTGGCTGCTTTTAATGAAGGGGCTGGTGCTGTGTTGTTTTATATAGTTTCTATATAAACTATATATACGTCGTTTTGAAACCAGCTCCCCACAGAGCACATATTTAGGGAACCGGGTTAAGGCACCAGGCCCGTTGGCAGACTCACTCTGCATTACAATGATGGCATGATGGGTAGCAATATCAACCCCACTGTGTGGGAATCCCTTGTAGTCAACCACAGTGCTGAAGAGACAGACAGTCGGATTGGGCATCCATAGCAGGGACCAGAGGAGGAATAACTGCTGGGAGGAACACAGAAATAAGAAATGCAATACTATATCTGCCACAGCACAACCGGATGCCTTTATCAGCCCCAGAAGCAACAAAACATGTCTCTCCCCTATCGGTCTCTACAGCCATAGCAGGCGCTGTAACTCTCCAACTGTTTGACTTCACTCCCAAAAGTGCACTCCTTCATTGTCTCCCAAGACAGACAAATGCTAGCAGATATATGGCTTTAATTCTATCATGTTTAAGTTTTTTAATGGTTCCTGCCCCCCCCCCCCAAAGTTAAAAGTTGTGATCAAGCTATAAGCTGTCTTAAGTCCCTTCAGGGAAAATGGTGGGGCATAAATATAATACGATGATGATGATGATGATGATGATGATGATGATGATAAGCTTGGACTACTGCAATGAGCTCTACATGGGGCTACCATTGAAGGTGACCCGGAAACTACAACTAATCCAGAATGCTGCAGCCAGACTGGTGACTGGGAATGGCCGCCAAGCACAATTCAAAGTGTTGGTGCTGACTTTTAAAGCCCTAATGGCCTCAGCCCAGTATACCTGAAGGAGCATCTCCACCCCCATCGTTCAGCCCGGACACTGAGGTCCAGCTCTGAGGGCCTTCTGGCTGTGAGATGTGAGGTTACCAGACAGAGCCTTCTCGGTAGTGGCACCCGCCCTGTGGAACACCCTCCTAACAGATACCAAAGAAATAAACAACTATCTGACTTTTAGAAGACATCTGAAGGCAGCCCTGTTTAGGGAAGTTTTTAATGTTTGATGGTTTATCAAGTTTTTAATATTCTGTTAGGAACTGCCCAGAGTGACTGGGGGAACCCAGGCAGATGGGAGGGGTATATATTATCATTATCATTATCAGGAGTGGTGTACGGTATGTCCCATCTCCAAAGCCCATGTGTGCAACTGCCCACCTCTTTCTGCACATTGAGCTGGAAAGTACAAATTATTGGCACCATCCTAATTTCTAAGGGGAATGTATTTCAAAGTTTGGGTGCCGCCACCCAGGATGGTGCTCTGAGTACTCCTTAAATTACCTTCAAGGGCATGTGGCACCCCTGCCCTGACAAATCCATGCTTACCATGGGAAATCATCTATGTTCTGCTGGTCCCGATTGTGGAGACGTAGCTGTTAAAGACATAAGAACCACATTATCCACAGTTTTCCCTGTTTTCCTCTACCTGTCATGGATCCCACAGGAGTGTCATGGAGTATCCTGAGGACAAATGTTTAGAGAGTTGGAGCTGGAGGGTCCTGGGGAGGGCCCAATCATTTTGGTGGGATCACTGCCATAACTCCAAGAAGTGTCCAATCCCACTGAGGGATTCAGGAGCCTGGGAGATAAAGAGCAGGATACCAGGGAAGGGCTGAGCAGGTTGCAAAAAGAAGTCTCTATAGCAGCGGACCCACCTCACCGAATGCCCCCTGCCACAGGGCTGCCTATGGCTCCACCTCCTCCTGTCAGTGAGGAACCTGACCCTTCTGTGGAGCCAACTGAGAGGAAGTCTGATGTCAAGCAAGCCTGTGGGTCACAGTTTGGTGCATTCGTATTCCCATAGCTGTCAACCGTCCCTTATTTGGTGGGAAACTCCCTTATCCCAGCCCTTATTGATGATGTCCCTTAAATTTCCCGGGTTTCAAAGGAAGCAGCTCCTCTTCCTTCCTCCCTGCCGCCCAGGGAGGAGGGAGGCTCCAACTGTGTTGCTTGCCTGCGTTGCTCACCCAATAAGGAGTCTAAGAACGACTGGGGGTGGAGCTTGCATGCCTTGTGCCGATCAAATTGGCCACGTTGCCTGGGGACTCGCCTTTGCTCAGCGCTTCCCAGCGGAGAGGCGACGGTGGTTTTCCTTGCTGCATCCCCTTTGCCGGGTTGCTGCGCTATGGGAACCACCGCTTGAGGCTTTGTTTGGCTGCTGGCTGGGCTTTCTGCCTTTGGCTCGGTGGGGCTCAGAAGTCAGACATACCTGTGCTCTGAAAATCCCTTATTTTGGCTGCTGATCCCTTATTTTCGAGGTGGCTGGTCCCTTATTTTCAAATCTGTAAGTTGACAGCTATGTGTATTCCTGAGCCCCCACCCAACTGCCCCCGATGAATTTTTTACTTTCACCACAGTACAGCACTCCCTGCTGCCTGCTGCTTTTTGCTATTTTAGCCCAGACACCTCCTTACAACAATATTATGTCATCATATAAGTGTCATTCTCATTTCATTCAAATTCCTGATGTGGACTTTCTTTGGAAATACTCTTATCAGAAAGGAAAGAGGGTGTACCTTCACAGTGCAAGGATTCGAGTGGTAAAATAAATATTATGCTTTGGAAGGTGCTGCTTTTAGTCAGCAAATTACACATCCTCTTTCTGAGATTAGCAGAAAAAGTATTGTGAGATCTCCTTTCTCTTCCACCTCCTGCTTCCTTTTTTCACTTCCTTCTCAGCTCCAACTCCTCCTAGACAAGGGGCTTTTTTCTTTTGGGGTTTCCCCCTGCCAGCTCTCTTCCTCCATATACCTATTTCATTTCCTCATCCCTCTAATATTTGTTGTTCCTTTACCCCATCGGTCAGAGAAACAAGCAGCTACAGCCAGACTGGGAGAAGCAAGAAAACAAAACAAAGCAAAGGACTCATTGCTTTGCTACCAAGCTTATTTTACTTTTGAGAGGCAAAGACTTCAAATTGTATGGGAATCAGATTTAGGCCACCTGACTAAAGATCACAAATGGGATGGTATCTGGACCACTCTCCCACTCAAAACCACCTTGGTTTACTTACAGGAGACCTTGCTCAACATCCAATGGCATTGAACACCAGTTAGGCTGGCAAAAAAGAATCCCTTCCTTTTTATGTTGGAAGGGATGCGGAAAGCTTGGTTCATTTATTCATGTTTGATGGGAAGACCCTCATGTTAAATTTTTTTGAAATAGAGCAATTCTTCATTATATCCTCAGCTACTGGCCAACCCTTTTCTCCAAATCCTGCCTTTGCCCTACTAACTTTGGACATAGACTTAGGCTCCACCCTGCACCACAGCAAACTAGTAGGCTTCTTACTGACTGCAGCACGATTAGTGATAGCTTGGCAATAGAAGAACAAGGCAGAAATACCCTTGAACATACGGGAAAATAATATATGGGATACAGCACTGTCTGAGCTTTTTAACAGACAAAGGCATTACAAATAGAGACACCTTCCAAGGAACGTGGACCCCTGTCTTTAACTATGTTAAAGCCCAAAATCAAGAACTTCTTATACCAACTGCTCAATATTCTCAGCGGAGAGGTTGCGTTATGTATTATGTTTGAATGTGTAAGTGTATGTCTAAGAGACAGTGGATGAAACCAACACCATCAGTTGCACTGCTGGATAAGTGTTTAGTGGTTATTGTATTTGTATTTATTTAAAAAACCAATAAAAATTGTGTGTTGTTTTTAAAAAAGGAAAGTGCAAAAATCAACAGTAACAGGCAAGCACAATAGCTTAAGGGGGGGAGAATAATTAGTCAGCATGCTTTGCTTTCTCCCCCACCCCTTCAAATTAACCTCTTCTATAAGTTCTCGGTTTATTGTGTAAAAGGGCTTTGTGGTGTCATGTGTTTACTTGCTTGACACTTACTACTTATGCAATTTCCAACAAAGTGCAAAGCCTCCCACTCCCAGCTGAGGATCAAAGTGCTTCCTTCCAAGCAGATGACTTCTCTTTTTCTCTTTCCATGGTTCATTTTACATATCATAAATCCTTGCATATTTTACAAAAAAAAACCTATACCGTTCAGTATTCCATTCACCAGAACTTATTTACACTGTTGAATTTATCTTGATGCTGCCAGCGTATTCAGCTGTACACAGTTATTTCCCATATATTCAAAAAACATTTTCCAATCTTCTCTAAACATATGTTATTCTTGTTCTCTTATTCTATACGTTAAGTCTGCAAGCTGCACACTTTCTGTCAACTTAAGTTGCCATTCTTCTTTGGTTGTGACCACACTTGTTTTCCATTTTGGGGCTAACAAAACACGGGCCACAGTACTGGCATACATAAACGACCTTTTCTGACACCTGGGAATTTCAGTCTGAATTATCCCCAACGAAAAGGAGCAGTTTCTGACATGAAGCACCAATTCAGTGGGACTGATCCAGCTCCCATGGGGAGTCAGGGGCATCGTAGAGCAGTTAAGAGACCTGGAAGGAACACCATGCATTGCATAGACAGGAGGCAACATTGGTCTGACTCTGGCACCTGTGAGGTCATGTGCCCTTGGCAAGTGCCCCCACCTGGCTATCTGAGCTAGTCTGTGAATCGGGGAATCGCTTTTAAGAAGGGTAGAGCCTTGATGAGGATTTGGAAGAAGTCGTCTTCATATATCAGAGTGAGACAGCAAGCAAACTCCTAAAGTATTTTAGATAATTCAGGAGGGATCACTGAGAGTCAAGAGCTCATCATTATCCTGAGATACATGATGGAAGATCCATGTGCCCATCGAGACACTTCCTGATTAAAGGAGCTGAGATGATATACCCTTTCCTGCACAGAAATTCCAATGTACGATTGTGTTGAACCAAATGTGAATGTCTCCGACCTCCAGACAGAAGCAGTTGCTTGGAATCCAGCTGTTTTTTTGTGATCCTGCAGGGTGCTTCCAAGGGGTAAAAAAAAAGAAAAAGCAGTTAGTCTTCCTGGTCTTCCTAGAAGACCAAAACTTCAATAAGGAGTGGGGAAATTTTATAATGTATCTTAAAAACCACTATAAGCAGCTGAAAACATTAGCAGGATTGCAATAACACTTGTATTGTAGCAAGAACTATGGATACAATGGAGTTATATACAATGGAGAGCCAGTGTGGTGTAGTGGTTAAGAGCAGTAGTCTTGCAATCTGGGGAACCGGGTTCGCGTCTTCGCTCCTCCACATGCAGCTGCTGGGTGACCTTGGGCCAGTCACACTTCTCTGAAGTCTCTCAGCCTCACTCACCTCACAGAGTGTTTGTTGTGGGGGAGGAAGGGAAAGGAGAATGTTAGCTGCTTTGAGACTCCTTAGGGTAGTGATAAAGCGGGATATCAAATCCAAACTCTTATTATTATTATTATTAAAAATTGGTTTGTTAAAAAAAAGATCCAGTAGGAAAGGTTTAATAATAGAACCCGTTGAGGGGAAGTTCGGAAGTCCAGAGATTTGGGAGAATCTTGTAATTTTGGACGTGTGCTGTTATGATTGTAAACTTAAATATGTAAAACCAAAGAAAAATTATCACAAAGAAAAAGAATCTGTTAGTTTTATTTCATTAGCAGAGCCTCGTAGTAGTTTGTTTAGTGAGAGTGGTGGGTGGCACTGTCGTCTAAACCACAGAGCCTAGGGCTTGCCGATCAAAAGGTCGGAGGTTCGAATCCCCGCGACGGGGTGAGCTCCTGTTGCTCGGTCACTGCTCCTGCCAACCTAGCAGTTCAAAAGCACGTCAAAGTGCAAGCAGATAAATAGGTACCGCTCTGGTGTGAAGGTAAACGACGTTTCCGTGCACTGCTCTGGTTTCACCAGAAGCAGCTTAGTCATGCTGGCCATATGTCCCGGAAGCTGTACGCCGGCTCTCTCGGCCAGTAAAGCGAGATGGGCGCCACAACCCTAGAGTCAGTCACGACTGGACTTAACTGTCAGGGGTCCTTTACCTTTTTAAAGTACCACACTCGTCCAAATGCAAGACCCCACTGATAGCCTGCACCTGTTAAATCACAGCTTCAGGTTTTATACAAGTCAGGTTTGGGGAGTGGGGAGTGTGGCCTCTATTCAGACCAATATGGTAGCATCTGTGATTCCTTCTTCATTTATTTATTCCCCTTCACAAAAAGGATGGCCAGAGGAAAACAGGCTGCAATTTACCTAGACAAACTGGACTCCATAATTTTTAGCTGTTGCTATAGATGTTGATCCCCTTCATGGATCACTGCCTTGTCATGGTGAAGGGGCCTGAATAACTCAGAGAAGCTATGAGCTACGCCCTGCAAGGCCACCCAAGATGGACAGGTCATAGCCGAGAGTTTAGACTAAATCTGGTCCACCTGGAGAAGGAACTGGCAAACCACTCCAGTATTTTGCCAAGAAAATTCCATGGACATAAAAAAGGAGAAGCTTTGAGAAGAAAGTGAGAGTTTCTAAGGCATGCTCTGGTTCATGGGGTCACGGAGAGTCGAACATGACTAAGACGACTAAACAACAATAGATGTTGATAGTATTTGGGGTAACGACACAACTTATTCTGAATCCTTGGTTAGGGTGACAGAAGAGCAGAGAAAATCCGTATGCTCCTTAACCATCCCATGTGCTCTGCCACTAACTGGGAATCACCCTCTCTTTGTGTATTTAGTTATTTAGTATTTTTTTTACACTGCCCACGTAACAATGTTCTCCGGGTGGTTAAAAATGAAAGATTACAAAAATAAAAATGAACAAACATCCTTAAAAAATCAATACAGAATAAAGCTAAAGTGCAAAACTAAATAAGTACATAAAATATATTTGGAGAGTGTCCAAAGTCTTATTTCTCAAAATATTAGATTTTATTATCTTCCTCCTGTTGGAATTCTAAGTAATTCTGGGCAGACAGTGTCTCTGGGTTGCATAGCCAAACCTGCATGTCTCTCTCATTGCACATCGCACACTATCAGTTGTACATACAGCTGTATATACAGAGGTATAATATTTTAAAATATTTTATCCACCATCGTGGCACTGTACTCTTAATTATTTGGGGGAGGTTAGCAAGAACCAGTGAGTATCAGTTTGGGATACATCAAAGAAATGTTCTCTTTTTTCACAGGGCAAAAATGGCTTTGCAGCTTTAATTGTAAAAATAAAATTTTAATAAAGTGTTTGCTAAGAGCCTTGTAGCGACATATCTAAGGCAAAGTCCCTTGAGGATTGCACTGTGAGGTTTCCTGCTCAGAGTCTCAGATTTGTGAAACAGCCCTCAGAATTTATCCTAGATTTCATTCTTTCTGACTTAAAGCTTCCTGTCAGCATACAGAAAATGTCCCTTACCCAGACACTTCAGTGGTTCTGTCCAGTTTTGTCCATTGCATATCATCCATCCAGATCCTTCCATCACATAACCAGGGTTGCACTTGTAAAATGCCCTTATGCTCTCAAATTCCTGAAACTGGGTTCTCACACTTCTTACAGTCTCTGCAAAGTCCACTTCAGGTGGTTCTCCACAAACTGGAATGATATTTAGTGCCAAGATTCCATTATTATTATTATTATTATTATTATTATTATTATTATTATTATTAAATTTCATTTCATTTCCAGGATTCCGTCTTTATTACAATTCAATAAGCATGACAGCTTATGGTTTTGTTTTTTACAGAGCCCTCAACAATAGGTTTTGTGCACGTTCCTGGTTACTTTGTTTTGCTCCCCTTGTGTATTGCTATTATTTACCCACCCCTCATCCTAATCCATCCCACAGCAGAAGACCTTGCAGACGTACGAGGTGTACTGTGGGCTCATGAACCACTTTTAAGAAAGGACAGAAAATTAAAAGAGTTGTGAGGAAAGGAGACAACAGGGCAGACAGATAGTCACAGCTGGGGGAATTATGGGAGAAATGTATGTTGAAAATGCTGTCTATAAGAATAAAAGACAATTATTATAAATTATTTTGGACATGATATTTAACACCAGTCAGATTAAAACAAATAAACAAGGAATATTCGGTGTTATGTTGGAGGGGATGCCGAGAAACAGGGAGTTATGTTCACATGTGGTGGGGGTGTAAATATGTACAATATTCTTTTTGGGCAAAGGGTATTTAAGGAGATAACAGAAATCACTGGGTTAAAGCTGACTGAAAGTCCAGAGGTAGCATTATTATCAATTAACGATGAGGTGGAAGGTTCACAGGCTATGATGCTCACAAATTTATTGACAGCTGCACGAATTATTATAGCTAGAAAGTGGAAGGGGCAAGCAGAGTATAAAATGGAAGAATGACATAAAAAGGTATGGAATATAGTGATTAATGATAAATTAACATGTGCCATTAAGGTAAGACAGGGAATATGCAGGAGAAATGATTTTGGGGAGATATGGAGGGTGTTTGTAGGATTTCTACTGTTAAAACAAAAAAGGGTCAAACCACCGCAAGAGGTGTTGAAATTCTGGGAGGCTGGATAGTTACAATGGAATGGTCTCAGTGGTGGGGTGCACATGTTTATTCTTATTTATTTATGATTATTTTACGGAGGAGGAGGAGGAGGAGGAGGAGGAGGAGGAGGAGGAGGGACAGAATCTGTAGGAGCAATTGGACAAACTGGCTTTCAAATGTAAAATTGGGATAACCTTGAGTATTTCAATAATCCAAGAGGAATTATCAAGTGTTGAAAGCTCATTAACCTGAGATGCATGATGGGAGATCCATGTGTCCGTCGTTACACTTCATCACTGAAGGAGCATGGAGGATATATCGTTCCCTGCACAGGAATTCCAATGTCCCGTTGTGTTGAATCACATGGGAACGCCTTCGGCCACCAAACAGAAGCAGGTGTTTGGCATCCAGCTGCTCTTTTGTGATACTACAGGGTGCTAAAAGAAGAAGGAAAAAAGGGCAGGTGTTTTTACTGTAGTTTGGGTAGCCTAAACTCAACCTAGGAATTTACGGATGGTCCAGCTTTCATCATGTCAATGGGAGAAAACAAATAGGACGTTAAAGGCTTCATTGTGTCTGCATATTCACTTAACTTACTCTTTTATTTATCTTCTTTATATTTTTACTTTTCTATAGCTGCAGGTTATTAAAATAATCCTGCCAGTGTTTTTATCTGTTTAAAATTGATCTGTAAATATTCAATAGACCATTTCCATTCTTTTATAAAAAGTTTGTTATCTTGATTTCTTATTCTTCCGGTAAGTTTCACCATTTCTGCATATTCCATAAGTTTTTGTATCCATTCTTCCTTTGCTGAGACTTCTTCTTCTTTCCATTTTTGGGCAAGTAACATTCCTGCCGCTGTAGTCGCGTACATGAATAAATTTCTATGCAATTTAGGTAGTTCTATCCCTATAATTCCCAGAATTCTTTTTTGGGGGCCCAATTCTCATTACTTTGTCATATGGAACTTCCTCCCAGCTGACATCAGCCATGTCCATTCGCTATTGTATTGCTGGCACCTAGCAAAGTCCTTTTAATTTCAGCAAGCATTTTAGATACGTTTTTAAATTTTATTTTATGGTTAATTTTTTAATAGTTTTTATTAAGAATTTCAACATAACAAATTATCAGAAACATATCATCTTCATCCCCCCCATTTTTTCCCTTCCCCCCACCCTAAGAAAAACCCTCCCTCCCTCCCCCCAAGATTTCCCTCAGCTCCTCTCTCTGATTTTTCAACACATATTATTCTCTGCATATTATAACATTGTAAAGATCCTTAAATTATCTATCTATTATGTTAATAATAATAAATTTGTGTGTGTTTATTTAAAACCTGCCAAGGAGTCCAGATGATTTTGTTGTTTTTTTAAGTAATTTGTAAAAAGTTCCCATTCTTCTTTAAAGCCACAGTTGTCCTTGTCTCGCAGTTTGTATGTCAATTTCTCCAGTTCCACATAATCCATCAATTTCCCTTGCCACTGTTCTTTTGTCGGGATTTCCTCATTCTTCCATCCTTGTGCTATTAAGACTCTTGCCGCCATTGTCGCATACATAAATTAGTTCTTTATTTTCCTTGGCAGGTCTTTTGCTACAATCCCTAACAGAAATGCTTCTGGGTTTTTTTTACAAAATTTTACAAAATTTTATGGTTTATTTTGACTGCTTTTCTCCCCTTTTCATAGGAGCCAGCTTTGAGGGGGCATTTCGATTCAAATGGGGGGGGGTGCTGTGAATTGTGATTGATTATGCGGGGCAGGGCTTACCTGCCCCCACCCAAAATATTTTATTCAAGTTGGCACCCTTCTTCTTTTTATCCTTTTTAAAATCTTCCTCTACACCAGAATGCCAGATGAAGAGAGCTCTTTTGAGAACAGTTGGCAACTCTGGCTCATTACACATCAGACTTGTGTGAGTCAGCCCTTAGAAATTATCCTAATAAACAAGCTAACAGAATATGATCTCTTACCCAAACATTTTGGTGGTGTTGTCCACTTTTGTCCATCGCACGTTGTCCACTTGGGCCCCTCCAATACGTATCCCGGGCTACATGTGTACTGTACTCTTGCATTCTCAAATTCCCGAAATTTAGTTCTCTCACCCCTTACCGTCTCCCCAAAGTCAACTTCAGGTGGTTTTTCACACACTGGAATGATATTTAGCATTAATAATCTGAAGAAGGAAGACAGAAGTGCCTGGCACGCTCTGGTCCATGGGGTCACGAAGAGTTGGACACGACTAAATGACTAAACAACAACAACAATCTGAAGAAGAGATTTGACAATAAATTATATATTGCTTCCCTTTTCTATGCAGATGATGCCGTCATCTTATCCAGAACAGCTGCGGACCTAGCAAATGCGGAAGCTCTTAATATTAATTATAAAAAATCGAAAGTCCTCCACTTCACTCGTTCCCGCAAACTCAAGCTGGAGCCGCTTAAGATCACAGGTGGCTACTTAGAAAAGGTAAAAGCCTTTAAATATCTAGGCTTAATATTCACTTATAATCTCTCCTGGACCACCCATCTACAATCTGCCTTTCTCGCTGCAACCACGACCTCTAATGCCATTGTCCGATTTTACCACCAGAAGGGCGGCAAACACCTTCCAGCTGCAATTCAAATATTTAATGCCAAAGTTGTTCCTAAATTATTATATGGCTGCGAAGTATGGACTACAGCAATATCAGGTAACTTGGATCGCCCACTTCATATGTTTCTGAGATCTCTTTCCGGCGTCCCGAGATGTGTCTCAGGTGCAGCCCTACGACTTGAGTTCGCCCAGCCCTCAATTGTAAAACGAGCATGGAGTCGAGCTATTTCCTATAGCTCCCACCTATTAGCATCAGATGCTCGAATTAGAGGTGGTTTTTCCAATCTGATCCTAAGAGATATTCATAATTCCCCTTGGAAAACTACAATTAACCTCAAACTCCGCTCTCTTCTCAATCTGAATTGTAAAACTGTTCTTAACTTAGAGTGTATCAGTCCGGCGGCCCTACCTCCAATTAAAAAGAAGCTACAGCAACTTGACTTCTCTAACACAGCTTCCCATGCAAGAGGGCCGTGTTCAGGCCTAGCCTTAGCTATTCCACCCCCTGAAGGGATCCCTCTATACTGCTTCACAATTTCTTCGGAGGCTAAGCGAAGGGCCTTTACCTGTGCCCGTCTCAACTGTTTTCCTACAGCAGTTCTGTCGGGTCGTTATTCCAGAGTTCCCATCGCAAATAGAACATGCACCTGTAACGACACGGCTCTGGAGACTATGGAACATGTAATGCTCTTCTGTCCCAACTGGACAGATGAAAGATCTCAGTTTTTAACTCCTCTCGTGAACAAGCTTCATCTCCCAATCCAGCCTTGGATAGTGTCCCTTTTTTTGCAGGATTCTGATTGTTGGATTACCGAGATGACAGCTAACTTCCTGCTCAGTGTGATGAAGAGGAAAGCGGCACTAGCTTCTTCTTTAACACCACAGCTGCAGTCGATACGCCGCACAATCAAACGAAGTTCCAAGTAGCCTTATTGTACAAGGACAATGGAGCTAGGACAAATCTGAGGAGCTGAAGGACCCTTTAACGATCCTCCTCCAGCCTCAGCAGTTTTTTGTCTTTTTGTTTTTGTACTATCTGTCACTCGATGTTTTAAATCCCCTGTCGCTTTTGTTATCCCCCCTTTTTTTCTTTTCTTTAAGTATTCGCCCAGGATGATATCTACCTTTACCTCCCCACATCCATTTTATGTTGTTATTTCTATGTATATCATGCTATGGCCACACGGCTAATGCAATAAAATCTATTGATTATATATCATATTTAATTCCATTTCCGGGATTATTGCCAATTGATAAGCATGGCAGTTTTTACAGAGGTTTTGTCAACGGATGTGTTGGCATTCCTGGTTATCTAGTATCCTTTGTATCGTTCTCCTTGTAAAGCGGTTCTTCTCCTTGCCAGTTGTGTAAAAGAGACTATGAATCTCCTTCACTGAAGACTGATTATGATGATTGTGTATTTATACCCCACCCATCTGGATGGGTTTCCCTAGTCACTCTGGGTGGCTTCCAACAAAATATTAAAAATACAATGAAACATCAAACATTAAAAACTTCCATAAACAGGGCTGCCTTCAGATGTCTTCTAAAAGTCAGATAGTTATTTAAATAAATGCAGGAGGGCATGAAGCTCTGGTGTCTTCTTGTTTCAGCCCTAAGCTACTGCTTCTGAGCAACATAGCATAGAAGGATGAAGATGGATGTTATGGGTTTTTTGAGGATGATGTTCCTATACTGACACCACCATTTAATTCAAGTCAATACAAAGGGAAAATCCATATTTATCATGGCCATATTTGTCATCCATATTTAGTCGTGGCCCGCATGACTAAACCGCTTCCGGTATAATTTATTGTTGGAATGGCATACAAAGGATAAACAAGTTAAATCAGTGATGATAGATTGGGCAAGAGATGTGGGACATAATATAATGTTTGAAGACTGGGAAAGATTGTGGAAGAAAGGGGTCAAGTTCACTGCATGTAAGGAAAATATAATGAAAATGATGTACAGATGGTATTTGACTCCTGTAAAATTAGCTAAGATATACCATAACAGTGATAATTTATGTTGGAAATGTAAAGAAAAATATGGTACCTTTTATCATATGTGGTGGAACTGCCCCAAAGTGAAAGACTTCTGGGAGAAGATTTATAATGAATTGAAGAAAATGTTGAAATATACATTTATTAAGAAACCAGAGACCTTTCTTCTTGGAATAACAGGTTTGAAATTGCCCAAGAAAGATGTTAAATTGTTTTTGTATGCCACAACTGCAGCAAGACTTTTGTTAGTGAAGAATTGGAAAACACAAGAAGTACCAACAGTGGAAGATTGGTAGATGAAGATGATGGATTTTTCGGAGCTAGCCGACCTGACTGGAAGAGCTCGTGACCAGAAGGAGGAGGAGTACCAGGAGGAATGGATGAAATTTAAAGACTACTTAGTAACATATGTTAAGTTAACTTAATTGGAAAAGCTTGCAAATATCAGATAGCCTTAGGATTTAAATATGTAATGTGATGAATTAATATGTTTAATGCCAAATTTGAAAGAAAGAAAGATGTTAAGTGATTAAGTTAATTTTATAAGAATATTGGTTTTGGAAAACTGTTAAAATGATATACATTGAAATTCAACCAGGGGGATATGAGGAAGTCACTTAACAATGCTACTAAGATTGGTTTAAATATGGATGAGATTTATGTTTGTTTGTCTATTTGTTTGTTTAATTTTTTTGGGGGGGGGGTAATTTTAAAAATTGGGGGGGGGGATAAACCACTTCTGGCACAACGGAACACTGTGATGGAAACCAAAACACATGGAAATGCCGTTTACCTTCCAGCCACAGCGGTACCTATTTATCTACTTTGTTGGCAGAAGCTGGGACAGAGCAACAGGAGCTCACCCTGTCATGAGGATTTGAACCGCCGACCTTCTGATAGGCAAGCCCAAGAGACTCAGTAGCTGAGGCCTGAGCGCCACCTGCTTCCCTTCATATTTACCACTTTCGGTCAGCTCTGCCGTTAGGTATTAAGACAACTGTCTCATGCAGCTGGTGCCAGGGGCGACGGCAGCCCCTGCTTGTTCCTCCATCGCCATTCCCCTCCGGTGACAACATGGCCTTGCTTGGGCACCCTCCCTCTATCTGATCAGGTGACCAGTCAGCTTTTGTACATGGAATGGAAAGGAAGCAGCATACTGCCCATTGCTTCAGGCAACAAAATGTCTTTGACCAGCCCTAATGATCACCAGCCCACCTCTGCATTCTTCACCAGTTAATCCTTTTGATACCAAGCAGAATGGCCACCTCCTTTCCCCCTGGTTAAAACTGCCTTTTTATCTGAACAACTTACCATTTGGGGAAGTACAGCCTGTCCACAGAAGCAATAGAACTATGCACCTCAGCCGGTTCATCTCAGGATGTCAGGCAATTTTCATTTGATCTGCCATGTGCAGTCTAGCTCCGAAATGCTCAGAGGAGGCCAAACAAGAGTCCAAGGCCTGAGATCAACTCCCCCTGTTGTAGTTAATGGTTTGCCACAACACTGACATATGCCTTCTTTGGTGACTGGGGGAAATAATGGGAGGTGGAGGAAATGGTTAAAAAAAGCATTTGCTGTTGAAAGGCTCTGTAGGTTGTGTGTTGCAATCTGGGCAGCAAAAGAAGCAAAGCTAAACCGGGAACATGAGAAGCTGTCTTGTTGTACCAGATCAGATTTTTTGCTCAGTATTGTCTGACTGGCTTCAGCTCTCGGGCAGGGAGATCATCCGTTACCTGATCTGTTTAATTGAAACTGCCAGGGATTGAATTCGGGGCCTTGGGGGGGGGGGCAGAGCATGAACTACCGTCCCTCCTTCAATCTAAAGGTACACACACACACACACACACACACACACACACTTTCCCCTCTGGCAAAGAAAAATCCGATCAATGCATTGGGATGTGCTTTCCTTAGCTGGCTGCAGCTTTTGTCAGGGGGAATGTCTTATTTTGAGATGAGCTAGTGTCAAAATGCTCACCTTTACCTCAACTATTGAACATTCATTTACTATTCTATTTAGATCATACTTTCCCACCAATGTGCACAAGGTGGTCTACATGATCCTCACCACCAGCATCCCGTGATAAAAGAGAGAGGGTGCAGTAACATGACGTGTAAATAATAGGACCTTCTCCAACTTCATTGTTTAGAGTCAAATGATCCTAGATCTCTGGATAAAAAACTTTCTTTAGCAACTGTGTGGACTGGTCATGTTGTACGGATGCCTGATGATCGTCTTCCAAAGAAACTACTCTATTTCAAACTTTAAAATGGAAAGTGTAATGCTGGTGGATCAACAAAAGAGGTTTAAAGAATCTCTCAAGGCAAATCTTTAAAAATGTAGTATAAACACCGACAACTGGGAAACACTGGCCTACGAACGCTCCAATTGGAGAACAGCCTTTACCTAATGTGCCACAGGCTTTGAAGGCGCTCGAACTCAGGACAAAAGAGAGAAACATGCTAAGTGGAAGGCACGCTTGGCAAATCCTCAATGTCATCAACTCCCGCCCGGAAACCTATGTCACCACTGTGTAAGGACATGTAGATTCAGAATTGGCCTCCATAGTCACTTACGGACTCACTGTTAAAACCGTGTTCATGTAAGACAACCTTACTTGACTACGAGTGATCGCCAAAGAAAAAGAAGCAGCAACAGCAAAGATGTTTATAGCTGCCAACTGGAAGTCTACCAAGCAACGTTCTAGATACCAGTGGGTTGATAAAACTGGGAGACTGTGTCCTTTGACAAGTTTACTCATCAAATGTAGCAAGCTAGGCATCCCCATAGCAGAGGCTGGCAGAGGCTGACAGAGACTGGCAACCGTGGAGGCTCAATGCAGACTGGACGGAGGGCTCTGTCCACCTTCCTTGCACTCTGCCGCATTCCTGAGGCCAAGTTGCCCTTCAGTCTCCAGGCTGTGGCGAGTCACCCTTCAGTCCCCTCACTAAATGGCCACCTGACCAGCGCTCACTTGCTCCTCACTCAGCCAACGGTGAGCAGGTGCAGACAGAGGGAGGAGGGCAAGTGGCGACCTGGCCAGGTGCTCCTCTCCACAGGCGTTGGGGGATTATGTTAGGATATAGTCCTGTTCCACCTTAAAAGGGAACAGGCATGACTGTTGTGTGTCACATGCCTGTTTACATTCCAGCACTCGCTGGGAACTTCCGTTTGTATATTGCTTTTGTTTTTGCTGTTTGCTTGGACACAAAGGGAAGCAGACATGTTTCTCCTTTGTTCCTGAACTATGCTGAATAAAATGCTGTAAATAATGCTTACACATGTCCGCTACTTCCGTGGCGAGGATTTATTCACTCTGCTGATAAGAGCGTGCACAGCTTCTAAACATATCTGAGGCTCGCGTCACTGATTGATGCTGTACCGGCCGATGGCTGGAGCCAGCTGGGGGCCTGCCAAATGCCACCGTCTCCCCGGCAGTATCCCAACAGATTCATCCTCCAAGTGTTGTGGCAAGCCACTAGGATTGCCACCTGCATGCGTGGGCAGGCAGTGCAATGTGGCACGCTTGGCTCTTGAGGGGGTTGCGGCTATGCTGCTGGGTATGCCTCTGAATACCAGGTCCTGGAAATCACAAGTGGAGAGGATGCTGTTGCACTCGGGCCCTGCTTGCAGGATCTCCATAGTTGCCAAGTCATAGTTGCTAAGCAAAGTTTTACTTCCTGCGCAACTACTTCTGAACGCTGTATGGAATAGCACATGATTCTGACCTTTGGTGGGTTTGTAAGTAAATCATTTTTAACTTACTAAACCTGCGGTCTTTTTCTGTGCAAGGGGAAGAGAGAAACTTTGAAAGGATCTGAGAAGGGCATATTTTAAAGGTCTAACAGCCCACGTTTCCACACTTTGCTTTGCTGCATGTTTTGTGATTTTAAATCTCTGCTGGGGTTCTCTCACCAAAGAGACTTGGATCTTGGCCCTCCTTGAAACAATACTGCCTTCATCTAGGCTGGCTTTTCAGGTGTCAAGCACCTGCCCCTAGTCCCCAGGGTACAAACAAGATACTACATAGGATGCCCTTTAACTGGCTGTGGTAGAACTCTTATTTTGTTCCGCATGGGGAAACCTGGTTTGAGCCATTTTCTGCTTTTAGAGCTTAAGTGTGCAACCCATATATTCATATTACTTTTCATTATTTCTGTTAGAACTTGCTGTAAAAACTGGATTTCAATTCATTTCAACTTTATCAGTATATGCCTTTATTATCTTAGCCGTTATAAATAAAAAATACAACCACCTAGTTAAGCGCCACAAATTTCTTCCAGTGCTCTATTTAAGTTTTCTGTGAATACTCAAGCCTTTTCTTGGTTTGCCTAACTTTATGTAAAATTAGTTGCAAGCCAAGACCCCATGACCCCACAGTTGCCTAAGCGGTGAATAACCAGACATGACACAGCATATGGTTTTATGGATTCAAATAAGCCACAACTTTATTGGTTACAGATGTGAATTGTTTGGCATAGGCATTGGGTGAAGCCAAATTATATCTCTCCAACCCATCTGCTGGGAGTCCATCTAAGGGTAAATCACCACTTGGAGGGCCCTATGACCTACATCAAATAGAGTTACCCCCCCAGGGGTCCCTGTTGGAGGAGTGCTATAGCCCTAGCCCCTGTTAAATAAATGCTTCAGTTCACAACATTGTGACATATGTATAATAAAGGGTGGAGTTATTACAGATATAAAATCTTGCTATTTTTTATATTAAAAAAATAATTTATTTGTACTGTGACTTTCTACACAAGGCAGCTAACAGCATGAATACAAACAAACAACATCCATAACGATAAAATTAAGAAAGAATTCAAATCATATAAAAATAAATAGCATATATACATTAATCTCCAGGCGCTGGTGAGGTTGACCTACTGAAGTCTTCTCTCAAATCTGGATGCAGCTGTAATGTTATTGGGGGGGTTTGAGGAAATACAACATATGTTAGATTCTTTATACAATGGTACCTCAGGTTACAGACGCTTCAGGTTACAGACGCTTCAGGTTACAGACTCCTCTAACCCAGAAATAGTAACTTGGGTTAAGAACTTTGCTTCAGGGTGAGAACAGAAATTGTGCGGCGGCGGCAGCGGGAGGCCCCATTAGCTAAAGTGGTACCTCAGGTTAAGAAGAGTTTCAGGTTAAGAACGGACCTCCAGACAAATTAAGTTCTTAACCTGAGGTACTACTGTCCTAGCGTGCAGCACTAAAACGTGTTGCGAAATGAGGCTTGCTGATGGGAACAAATTGAGAACACTCACTGTACAGTTAGCAGAGCACAGGAGCCAACTCCTAGGGGCCAAGGTCCCTTCACCGCCGCTGCCCCCAATAAAATATTTGAGGGGGCTGCCTCCCAAAAATTGATAGGCATTGCTATTCAAATGTTGTGGGGGCAGGACTTTCCTCCCCCCGACCCATATTTTATACAAATTGGCACCCTTTCAGCAGAGCAAGGATAGCTAAAATGATGCTCTTTGTGTGTTCCTGGAGCTCCTCCCAATATCCTTGATCTGCTCAGGGCTCATGAGAAATAGAACCCAACATCAGGCGGGCATCATCTTCAGTATTTCTGAGTCTTGGTTTTGATTGCTCATTATCTCTTATGGTAGCAAGTCAACCCAAAGCCATTAGCCTAGTGTCCAAGCTGTGAATATCCCTGCTTGTCCCTCAGTTGAGATTCAGAAAGGCAACTGGTTTAGCGAACTATAATATTTCTACTAAGGGAGCACAGCAGTAGCAGCCACCTGTTGTTATTTAACTGTTATTGGAATTTTAATCCTTTTTTGAGGTAATAAATAAACCATCTGCCAATTCCCATCCAGATGGGGAAGAGAGAAGAAACAAATCCATTGCCTATACAGGTTGGAGGTCACAAATGATTAGCCACTGGGGTGAGCCAGAATCCTGCCAAATAGCAAATAGCATTTCTGAAGTTTTTCTCTTGCTGAATACTACTTGCTCATATCCAGCCAAGTCAGTGGCAACCATCTTGCCTAGACCAGAGGACTGAGCCTCTGGTCTCATAAATCTGAGCAGATTGCTGTGGAACCATTTATGAAACCTAATCTAATTTCCTGTTTGGACTGCAGTGCAAATACAGAAATGCGCCACTGTAAATAAAGGATTTATAGGATCACACTGAAAGCTAAGGGCTCGTCCACATATCTGTTTGATATCTAGGTCCTATAGGTTTTTCTTTTGCCCCACCGCTTTGCCCAGAAAGACCTGCTGTTTACTGCTGAATCGGAACAAACATCCATTGAGTTTTCTGCAGTTCGGTGTTTGTTCCGATTCAGCAGTAAACAACGGGTTTTCTCAGGGAAAGCAGTGGGACAAAAGAAAATCGTCTCCAACCCCTGCTTAGAAATCATGGGACAAACAGGAGTGTGGATGGGCCTTACGTCAGCCCAGAGGCATGCAGTTCTATTCCATGTCCCCCCAAAACCTTATTAAAGGAATTTGTTGGTACAGAACTATCATGGAAGTAAGGGTATGGAGTTAATGCGGCTTGTTTAAGGCAGAATCACATAGGCTGTATCCACAATCCAAGGTGTATTGATCAGTTATCAAGTAAAGCTTACACAGGGAGGAACAGCTTGGAGTAGGCGACCAGTCATTTTTTGTACACGTGGCCGTTGCTTGGTTTTCAGGTCGATATCCTGCATCACAACGAAACGAAACGTTATCACCCTCGATGAAGTTATTCTTAGAGTCGTAAATTACTTCACCATGTGGCAAGTGTTTAGGAGGGGTGCACAGTCCTAAAGGCAAAACGAATACATGTGCATGAATGTAAAGAGAGGAAATGTGTACAAAACCTTTATTAGAGAACAGTACGCAAAATACATTTGGACATCCTGGTCCAGCTATGGAACAGGCCCCTGTATGAAATCATGGAAATCCACTGCCAAATATTGAATTGCATCACACTGTGCAATACTGACCAAGAGTCTCTTGCTTAGTATAAGGCAGCTTTCTAGTATAAGCTCCTAAGAAACTTACTTTTTTAAAAATGAAAAGAACCAAGATTCTCTGAATGCTACATTCTGCTACACCCAATATGATATTCAGCTCTTTTTAGGCATGCCTGCAGAATCATGGCGTGCACACACAGGGATTGTCCTAAAGCAGGTTTGGAATGAATGTTTGCAAATTCTAGCCCTATTCAGGCATTCGAAACCCATGTGATAAGGAGTGGGTGGGGACTTGCACGCGCATCCCAAATCTCCCTCGTTGCGCAAGGGGTTCAAAATACCAAGAAAGGGCTCATATTTACAAGCAAGTTTGAAATGTCAGGTGGGAAAAACATAGAAGGAAGGTGCCAGAACCAGAGAGCTATGGCAGCCTTCAGTTGCATCCAGCTTCTGGGTTCCGGCAATATCTCTCCAATCTCTCATAAGATCTTGCCGCATCCTGGAAGCTACAGCCATGCAACCCCACTAAGTGAGTCTTTGACAGAGGAACAGCAGAGCGGGAGTGGAACCTTTCTGTTTTGACTCAGGTGACAAAATAGAACGGGTCAGCCCTGCTTTTGACTTATATGCTATTTCCATCTTAGGTAGACTAACTCTTTGAAAGCACCTCAGCAGCCATCATTAATGTTGCTGGTGCCTTCTTAGAGAATAAGAGAAACATACACTTACTGAAACATTTCGGTTCTGGATCCCAGCCCAAACTGGTGCATCTAATTCTATACCAGTACTTTTTATTTTCTGGCAGAAAGCCGTGCTTGCATCTGAAACTAATTGTCTGTCCCTCCTTTTTTGGAAAATAGACATCACTGTAGTATGTGTTAGACCAAGATAGTGCTCCATTCTCTATATGGGGATAATCACATTGCTTTGCTTTGAAAGAGATAAAACAGAGACTGTTAAAACAGATAAACACCTTCAGTTATTTTGCTTGACGGTACTCGATTCTGTTTGTTAATGCAGGTTTTTCCAATGTTAGCCTAATAGCCCCATTGACTCGCCAGTCCTAAACTCTGTGAATTGTGAATATTTCCTATTATTCTTATGGAACCTGTAATGTGGCTCTGATATTGGTCCCTGTAATGTGGCTCTGATACTGGAATGGTTTTCCACGAGGATCAACATAATTGTGTAGGGATACTGTGGTACCTCAGTTTTTGAATGTCTCCGTTGCTGAACGTTTGGGTTTTCGAATGGCTTCCATTTTCGAATGCACCTCAGAAGTCAAATGGCTTCCACTGTGTGTATCCACAGTTTGTTGGATTGGGAATGTAAGGCCTTGAGCCAGGCCGATACCATTGCTCTCTCTCAGGGTTCTTTGAACAATTCAGTATAGATAACTTGTTTAGTGTGCTAGTGGATTTAAGAACTGGAGGTGGGGTTTATGGTTCAGAGAGGAGCTGGTACTTGAAACCATACAAGTGGCAAATTCAGAATGCCAGCCCTGGCATATGATATAAACACACTGTTAAATTGTGGGTGAACATATCAGACGACACAGCGATTCTTCAAACAGCTCTTGTTTATTCACAGGTCAGAACAGAACTGAACTGAAGGGTTCAGGCAGCCTGCTTATATAGAGCTCCACTAGAACGCAACAGTAACCATTTTCTGTAACTATCCAATCACTGAACGTCACTTTCGATCCCTTATTTGCATATGTGGACCTGAACTATCTACAGTATCCCCCTGCTGGCCCAGGGTGAGAACTTCAGTACATAACACACACCTTGGGGAAAAGTAGATGAAAAACCATCAAAAATACAAAACAGATTCCATTATCAGTCATTGAGATTAACACTACATGGGGAAAAAAATACTACAACATGAAAATTACTTACGTACACACTTTGGAGATGGTAACCAGCCATACTTTGTACATTTAAAAGAGCTCTTGCGGCTTTGCAGCTGATATCCCTGATTACATTTAGCAGAGATCACTTCCTCAAATTTGTACTGACTCTTTACAGGAAAGAAGTTGCCACCACCTATTTCTGGGGCAGTGCACATCACTTGTGGTGAAACAGAAAAGGGAATTTTAGGAAGTACGGTTAATGTCTTCCTCAATACCGCTCAGTAGTTGCAACATATAACCACCACCACATGGCTTTTAAAATTAAATGATCATTCTAGAATGCAAACTAGCCACCCCAGCAATCAACAGTGGCTGCCATCCTGCAAGCACTTAGCCTCAGCTCAAAATGCATTGCAATGGAGATCAGTGATATGATCTTCCAGTGTTTTTTTAAATGAAAATCAATTGCACAAGAAGGGGACTGCAGATTTGACTGGAGCAGCGGCAATATGGGAGGGTTGTTTAATCCCTTCTTCCCTGTCTTAGGACACCCCTCTCAGCTGAGTTTTGCCCCATGAACTTAAGACTGAGAAAAATGAGAAACTGAGGGACTGGCAGATCGTTCCATCCCTATTCCAGCCTAATGGGTAACAGGGGGCATTGAATCATTCTGGTACCTGGTGTGGAGAGATCTGATGCTAGCAGCAGCAGATTCTTGGAAGTGGTGGCACTGGCAGGGATGTCACCAGTGACGGAAGTCTCTTGGTCAGACACTGGAATGACCCAATGGAATAACATATGTTATAACGGTAGAATAGGTAAGTTATCTTATGAATGCCCTTTCTAGCATCTAACATCTCTGTGTGATGCTGGAGGCATGTGCCACACCTCTGTTGCCCATAAATCTCTAACACCTGTGGTCTCAGATCTGAAGGCATATATGATCGTTGTCAAAAGTTACTTCATGGAAAGAGGCACAGTCCCTACCAGCCAGTTCAAACTAAGCACACTTTACACTTTGGTTTGCAGTGGCATGTAAAAACAGATGTGGAAAGGTTTTTGAAATGACATGTTCTGGCTTGCAATCGAATCATCAATGTAAGTGCATTATAAAAAAATATTCTCATACATTCTTCTGTTTACTAGCTTCCTGTTTCATTGAGTAAGATAGCACAGGGAAAGGGAGGTGAATTTTGATCAAGGCAAAAGTCTGATTTAAATCCTACCAGAGTAGCAATCGTCCTTTGGTTGCTTCCACCTGACAAGGTCAATATAAAACCTCTGCACATATGTCTCAGGTAGCTTGTAAACCCTCCTAGTGTCCCTGTTTTCTAAGGACAGTCCTGGATGTACAGAAGCTGTCCTGGTTTCTGTTTTAATCCCGGAATGTCCTGCTTTTCCTTAGGACATCCCTATTTTCATCAGATAAATGTTGGACAGTATGGAGTTACATGACCCCCCCGGGCCAAGAAGGTAAGTAACTATACAGTACAACCTTTAGAAGACATCTGAAGGCAGCCCTGTATCATTTTATTATGCTTTTATGTATGTTGAAAGCTGCCCAGAGTGGCTGGGGTGTTGTTGTTGTTGTTGTTGTTACCACTACTACTATTACTACTACTCTTACTCTTACTATTATTGAATTGAGCATCCCTATTTTGACTGGGATGTTGGAAGGCATGAGCTTGTTTGTTTCCATATCAAGCTCATAGTCATGTCCACTATTATGCAGGAGTGGGGAGCTAGCAGCTCATAGGCTAAATCATAGGGAAGTTTTCAATATTTAATGCTGTATTGTTTTTACACTTGATTGGAAGCTGCCCAGAGTGGCTGGGGAAACTCAACCAGATGGGCGGGGTATAAATAATAAATTACGGTATTATTATTTTATTATTATAAATCTGACCCACAAAGCCTTTCCAAATACCTCACCAGACTCCCATCCTCTTCTTACCCTGTTCCTCCTTCCCAGAGGTAAAACGATAAAAAACCTAGAGACACTGCAACTAAACAGTGGTACCTCAGGTTACAGATGCTTCAGGTTACAGACACTTCAGGTTACAGACTCCACTAACCCAGAAATAGTACCTCGGGTTAAGAATTTGCTTCAGGATGAGAACAGAAATCGTGCTCTGGTGGCGCGGCGGCAATGGGAGGCCCTATTAGCTAAAGTGGTACCTCAGGTTAAGAACAGTTTCAGGTTAAGAACGGACCTCTGGAACGAATTAAGTTCTTAACCAGAGGTACCACTGTAGCTTGTATTTCCTGGCTTTGGTGACAACAAAACTAGGCATAATAATAATAATAATAATAATAATAATAATAATAATAATAATAATAATAATTAATTTATTTATTTATACCCCACCCTCCCCAGCCAAGGCCGGGCTCAGAGCGGCTTACAAGCAATAATAAAAACAAGAAGAATGATTACAACTTAAAAACAAAAATAAAATACAACATTAAAATAATGGAACATTAAAATATTAAAATGTAGCCTCATTGCAGGAGAAGGAAAACAAAAAAGAAAGAGAGGGAGGGAGAGAATCAAATTGGCTCCAAGCAGATGAATTTATCTTCACTTAGAAACGTTTGTTTTCACTTTCATAGGCAGCCAGCAGTGGTTTGTGTAAGCAATCCAATAGGATTTTATTAAGGTCATTTTACACAACAACAGCTGGATCCAATGATCATTATGATGGTGGTGAATTCAACTCATTGGTAGGAGATTAAGGGATTTAGAGGCTATCCAAGCAAATGGGAGAAGGTACTGGGAGATGCTTTTAAACCAGAAGGTGATGTTCTCATGGGTTTTCTGCATAAAGCAAAGACCCATTTTGCCTGGGCAAAATGCAGAGCCAAAATTTGATGGTGTCAGCAGACCAGCTCAAACACAGCAGAAACACACACCCTTCAGATAAACCACCCAACTGATGTGAAAGAGCATTATCAATGCAGTTACCAACAGGGTTACAGGATGGCAGGTCCATGGTCCCATCAATGCACATTCTCACAGAAGGAGAGATTATTATGTATCCTTTCACGCATATGAATTCCATTGTATGTGCATTTTTAATCAATTCTGAATGTTTTTGCCCACCGTACAAAAGCAGGTTTCTGGCTTCCAGCTGTTGTTTTGTGATAGTGCAGGGTGCTGAAAGAAAAGGAAGAAAGAGATGGGGTCATCTTTGGAATTGGCTTCTCCTATTTAGCCTTCCAGGTCTGACTTTAGATTAATTGGATCCCTAGGAGTAGCTTATAACTCTATGGCCTACAAATGACATCCAGTTTTTGCTCAATTCTGAAGGAAAATTAACCCACATATTAACTTGGGTTCAAATGATATTTTTTATATTATATCCCTTTTCAGATTACAGTGGTACCTCGGGTTAAGTACTTAATTCGTCCATTCTTAACCTGAAACTGTTCTTAACCTGAAGCACCACTTTAGCTAATGGGGCCTCCCGCTGCTGCCGTTGTGCGATTTCTGTTCTCATCCTGAGGTAAGGTTCTTAACCGAGGTACTACTTCTGGGTTAGCGAAGTCTGTAACCTGAAGCGTATGTAACCTGAAGCGTATGTAACCCGAGGTACCACTGTATATCCTTCCAAGTGTATCTGGATTCCAGCTCCCTTCAGCCTCATTGGTCCATTGTTCCTAGCCTTCAACATCTAGGCCAGGCTTCTTCAACTTCGACCCTCCAGATGTTTAGAGACTACAGTTCCCATCATCCCTGACCACTGGTCCTGCTAGCTAGGGATCATGGGAGTTGTAGGCCAAAAACATCTGGAGGGCCGAGGTTGAGGAAGCTTGGCCTAGATGTTGAGGGCAACCTTTTCAAATCAATCCCTGTGCACATTAGCATTAGCACTCCATGCAATTGGTACTTCTATAAAACCAGGAGTCCTGATCACCTAGAGCAGGTGTGGCTAACCTGTGGCCTTCCAGATGTTGCTGAACATCAGTCACAGCTGGCAGGGCCAAATGTCAGGGAATTTAGGCGTTGTCCAACAGCATCTGGAGGGCTACAGGTTCCCCAGCCCTGATGTAGAGTGCCTACATATGTTCAGATGGAAGCTAAGTCAAACTGCTACATTAGCAGCACCGAAATGAGCTCCCTGGGGTGCAAGCCTGGGCGGTGTGTATGGAGGTCCTGGGCTACCCAGATGACAAGACCGGCCTCTTGGCTTCACTGATGTGGTCCAAAGGAAAGCAGAGCAATATGTGTGGCACCAGCTTGGCTGCAAGAGTTCCTGGAAGGAGACTTCCAACCCTATAAGGGACTCCACTCTGGATTTGTGTAGCCTTTTCTTCTCTTGAAGATATCCCAAAAGGCAGAGGAGGTTTAGGATCAGAGATTTCCTTCTCCTAGATAAGCTACCTTCCCAGGTTGACAAGCCCCATCTACAGCACATGCAGAAACCACCTTCTTGACTGTTGGACCCACTATTGGTCTTGTATGCTTAATCCACCAGAGCCTGTCTTCACATGTAGCTCACTGCGAGTTTGAGACCCATTGGCTGCCCTCACCTGGTTTAGCTAGCCAGTTAAAGCCATTTCCTGTAATTGTGGCTACCCCATAAAAGTACATTGTTATGGGGTGGGTGGGTTGTGCTATATCCAATCCAATTCCAACAATATAATTTTATTTTGAGATAAGTACATATGATCCACAAATGCTGGAGTTATCCAGTTTCACAGTGTGCCCTATCCATGTTACCTAAAAGTTGACAGAAATAGTCCACTCACCAAAACACTTTGGACGAGGGGTCCATCCATCTTCCTTACATGTTATCCAGCCAGACCCTTCCAATTCATACCCAGGGAAGCACTTGTACTGTAACCGGTCACGTTCCAGATATTGAGCTCTTTTATTCTCTATGATTACTCCAAAATCAATGTCAGGTGTGCACACTGAAATTGCATTTAGCATCATCATAGTCACTAAAGAAAAATCCTTTTCAAAGTAGAATGATAATTGATCAAAGCTGTAAGTTCCTGAATACAAATCAAAGGTCACTTCCACACCAGGTGTTTTCTCTGGGCATTAGCATCCTTGGCTCACTCACTTTTTAAGGAGCATCCAGATGACATCATTGTCATCCCATTGGATTCCAGTGTTTTCAAATAATGCCCTCTCTTGTTTTTAACAGCAATGGGAACAATACATCACAACACCAACCATCACAACAACAAAAATCAGAATTACAGCAATAGCAACACATTGATGTATAGCCAATACAACACCACTAAAAGTTAAAGTTTTCTAAAGGAGCGTCTCCACCCCCATCGTTGAGCCCAGACACTGAGGTCCAGCTCCGAGGGCCTTCTGGCGGTTCCCTCACTGCTAGAAGTGAAGTTACAGGGAGCCAAGCAGAGGGCCTTCTCAGTATTGGCACCTGCCCTGTGGAACACACTCCCATCAGATGTCAAAGAAATAAACAACTATCTGACTTTTAGAAGACATCTGAAGGCAACCTTGTATTGGGAAGCTTTGATATTTTATTGTGTTTTTAAAATTTTTGCTGGGAACTGCCCATAGTGGCTTGGGCAACCCAGTCAGATGGGCGGCATATAAATAATAATAAAATTATTATTAATATTACTATCAGCGGTGGCATACAAAATGCCCTATATATCAAAGCATTTTGATGATATAAACACAAGATTTCGCAAATAAGAGCGGAATCATTCAATAGTAATAATAATAAAAAATCTGTTCAATAAATGTAATATAATCACTACACCTAAATTTCTAACCCAGGGCAATCATAATCATAATTATATTTCTTACCTGCCTTTATGACCGGATCCCAGGACAGGTTGCAGCAATTTAAAATACATTAAAATCCATTTTTTGAAAAATTTAGGATGGATGCCCTCCAGATGTTGTTGGAATCCTGTGATTTCTGTATGTTGACCGACCTGGTTGGGGTTGATAGGTGTGGGAGTCCCACAACATAGGGAGGGCAACACATTGTATACCCTGTCCTTGCCTATCAAATGGCCCTGCAAACACAAATTCATGCAAAACAGCTTAGCACTACCACTATATTATTCTTGGAACTATTGATGGAATTATTCGCAGAATGCCACAGCTTTAACAGACAAAAACGCAGACCTGAATTTAGTTCCTAGCCTTAGTTCTAGAGGTCTTCTGAAATAAATAATTTCTTTATTTATGCTCTTTCACTGCATGAAATGTTTGTCTTTCAACTTAATATCTTACCATGTTGGAATGTGCAGCATGTCCATAGAAGAAATGAAACAATACAGAACAGCCGGTTCTTCATTATGCTTCAGCAGAATAGAGGATTCCCCTTCTGTGACTGCATTTTGCAAGGACTGACATTGTGAATATACTTCTTCTCTTTTCTTGCACCAGTTCAGTTCTTTCTTTCTACCCTATGCCTAGGTTTCTTTTTTTTATTGTGTCTTTTGAAGTACCCTTGATTGGCATAGCATCGAGGGAAAGAAAGCATTACCAGCATTCAGCACTGAAACAGTTTGCAAACCCGCAGAGATGTTTTGTACTGCCATCCTAGTATTAAGGACTAAAACAAAGTCCGGCCTTCATATAGAACCTGTGTGGCCCTGTTCACATACATCACAGCAAAGCAAAGAGGGTCCCTCCTGTCTGAGATAAGAGAATTGGTGCAGGGTGAGCAGAGCAGATCTTAATATAACATTACACAAACTACGGGTTGGAAGAGACAAGGATGCCCTGTCAGCATCAGTAAATTGTTTTCAACGCCAGGATAATGCTTGTGCTCAGGTGCGCGATCTCCTTATTTTCTCCACAGTAAAAGCAGCTCCTCTGGAAAAAGTGTATGAAAAAAGAAAACAAAGTAATGCTGACTTCGGAACCAGAGTAACTCAATGAAGAATTTCCCTGATGAGGTTGAAACCTTCAGCGAAATGCGTAAGAAAGTGGTGGCAAAGAGTAATGGGATTCTGAAAGAAGACTGAGCACTCTTTGGTCACCTCATTATGATGTCAGGAGGTCAGAACATTTGGATGACATACACACTGTCCTATCCTCTGTGTCCTTTGTGTCATCACAGATAATTGCTTGGGAACAAAACTGACTGGATAAGTCATTTTCTGACTCTGTTTTCAGACTTTTTAAATCATCGTACACTGGTAGTGATGAGGCATAAGTCTTAAAATATGAGATCTGATATATTCTGTCTTCTTTTTCTACCCGAATGCCTAATTTTGCTCCTTTCTAAGGAAAACAAAACTAAGATGCAACAACAACAATAATAAAGATTTTGTTCCTTTAAAGAAGCAGGCAGTGAAGCAGGCTGCTCCTCACTCTCTTCTGAAGAATCTTCCATCCCGTTGCTAAGCAACCATTTCAGGGACTAACTGTCAATGGATGGACCCTGATGGAGATTCTGAGCGAGGACATTTCACTGGGTACCAAAGTGAGATGGAGATGAAAACCAGGATTTCCAGATGAAAGGGTTAGATGAAGTTGACAAAACAGCCCTTGAGCAGGAGACAAGGCCGGTGGGGGAGATTTTTCCACCTTTGTGGCAGGGCTCTGAAAAGTGTATGGCAGAGGCAGGGGACCAGGAGTGGGGAGTGGTGATTTATGGGATGTGACACCACCTGCAAGGCAGGAGCCAGAATGCCAGTCCCTGACATTCAAGAAAAACAGAAAAGGCCACCGTCTCTACGTCATCCTCCCTGCCTGCCCACCACCAGAGATGCAGAGGAAGTTGCCACAGCAGCTATGGCAGGTGGCGGCACAAGAGGCAGGTATGGGATGCGGGTGGCGCTGTGGTCTAAACTACCAAGCCTCTTGGCCTTGCTGATTGGAAGGTTGGCAGTTTGAATCCCCGTGACAGAGTGAGCTCCCATTGCTCTGTCCCAGCTCCTGCCAACATAGCCGTTCAAAAGCACACCAGTGCAAGTAGATGAAGAGGTACCACTGTGGCGGAAAGGTAAACAGTGTTTCTGTGCACTCTGGCTTCTGTCATGGTGTCCCGTTGCACCAGTAGCGGTTTAGTCATGCTGGCCACATGACCCAGAAAGCTGCCTGTAGACAAATGCCGGCTCCCTCGGCCTGAAAGCAAGATGAGCGCCGCAACCCCATAGTCACCTTTGATGGGACTTAACCATCCAGGGGTCCTTTACCTTTTTTTTAATTTTAGTGGCAACAGTAAAGGGGGTGTCTGTGCACAGAGGTGAATGTGTTAGCAGCCAGCGCCCCATAGAGCAGGTGACAGCGGGCAAGGAGGCAGCAGCTGTGGAGGCGAGTGGCGGCAGAAAAGGCTAGTTCTACCGCCTGAGGTGCCTGCCTGGCCGCACCTGGTAGGAAAGGCCCCGATGACAACATTGCAAGTCTAGCTACCACAAGGCAGAAACAGGCAACTGTGGAGGAACAGCCATCGAATCTACTGCACACGCAGTTCTTGGTGGGGAAATGCTTTCTGCTGCAATCGGGGACCTAATTGGGATTCACATTTGCTCACGAGGAATCCAGTGGGACAAGGAATAATGCTCAATCTTTGAGTGTGGCATCAGTCATACTTTGGAACTCTCTTCCTATGGACCTCAGACGGGCACCTTCACTGTTCTTTTTTTGGTGCCCTGTGGGTTAAACCACAGAGCCTAGGACTTGCCAATCAGAAGGTCGGCGGTTCGAATTCCCGCAACGGGGTGAGCTCCCGTTGCTCGATCCCTGCTCCTGCCAACCTAGCAATTCGAAAGCACTTCAAAGTGCAAGTAGATAAATAGGTACCGCTCCGGCGGGAAGGTAAACAACATTTCCGTGTGCTGCTCTGGTTCGCCAGAAGCGGCTTAGTCATGCTGGCCACATGACCTGGAAGCTGTACGCTGGCTCCCTCGGCCAATAAAGCGAGATGAGCGCCGCAACCCCAGAGTTGGTCATGACTGGACCTAATGGTCAGGGGTCCTTTTACCTTTACCTTAAGAACTGTTAGCATTTTAGGTAGCTGATGCTGGCTAGTGTGATTAGTATAAATCACATAAGATGTCTGAGAAGAGTGTGGGAATGGAAGACAGTCTTATCTCTTTTGTCTGAGAGTGTTACAGTCATACCTCTTGTTACGTTCGGTTCAGGTTACATCTTTTCAGGTTGCGTCCCGCGGTGACCCGGAAGTACCGGAAAGGGTTACTTCCGGGTTTCGCCACTCGTGCATGCGCAGACGCGCAAAATGACATCACGCGCATACACAGAAGTGGTGAATCACAACCCATGTGTGCACAGACGTGCAGACATGGGTTGCGTTCCTCTCAGGTTGCGAACGGGGCTCCAGAACGGATCCCGTTCACAACCAAAGGTACAACTGTACAGTGGTACCTCAGGTTACATACGCTCCAGGTTACAGACGCTTCAGGTTACAGACTCTACTAACCCAGAAATAATACCTAGGGTTAAGAACTTTGCTTCAGGATGAGAACAGAAATCGTGCTCCGGAGGCGCAGCGGCAGCAGGAGGCCCCATTAGCTAAAGTGGTGCTTCAGGTTAAGAACAGTTTCAGGTTAAGAACGGACCTCCGGAACAAATTAAGTACTTAACCCAAGGTACCACTGTATTGGACTGTACTTTAACTTTTGCTGTATGCTTTCTGTTTTCTGCCAGAGTTTGGAGGGCATAGACATGATTATGGATTCTCTGTATATATTGCAAATAAACATAGTTTAGATCTATGGATGTTTCTATCTTCTTGCTGTGTGATACCAGAAGACTTGTGTGCACTTTTCATATGAGAAGTGTCGCAGAGCACTCTGGAGTGAAGGGACATGCCATTTCAGAGACGTGCCTACTGGGAGATACTCGGAGTACTGGGGGTCTGCCGTCCCCCTCCCCCAGGAGCGTTTGCCAACAGGAACATCCTTGTTTCGGCTGCGTGGATCTTACTGGCCGAGATATGGAAAGAAGATAAAGTTCCTACCAGAGAAGAATGGCAGAAAAAGTTAATGCTGAAATGGCTAAAAATAACTGGAAGAGTCAGAAATCAGGAAGACCAAAATTTTAATAAGGAATGGGGAACATTTATAACTTACCTTAAAGACCACTGTCAACAGTTAAAATCGTTAGTAGGATTGGAATAGCACTTGTAGTTTAAAGTTGGTTCTGGACATAATGGAAGAAGTAAAGGGTTTGGATTATCATAAAAGATGCGGGAGGAACTGATTAATAATAGAACCCACATAGGGGAGGATGGAATTCCAGGAGATTCCTTGGAATTTTGTTTTCATGATTTATGTTTGATATATCTCTGTAAAATTTTGATTTTAAAAATCAAATAAATAAATTTAATAATAATAATAATAATAATAATAATAAACATCCTTGTTTCAAAAAGGCTGCCCAGATGTGTAGAATGTTGACATTGTTTTAATCTGTATTTAACATATCATTGGTTTTAATTGGTTTTTTAATGTTTTAAGCAGCTGTTTTAACTATTTTTACTGATAAGCTCACTGTTTTATTCTTTTCGTAAGCCGCTTTGAGATTTGTTTGTCATTACAGTCAAGCAGCATAGAAACTTTACAAAGTAAAAATAAATAATCAGTGATAAAAGACCACAGACTCAAAATTGTAATTGAAGCAAATCAATCAATTTATTGGTGTGCAATGCTTCATTTAAGAAGCATTATTGTCTTCATAAAATTTGAAGAAAATAAAGCAACAAAGCAATGTAATATCACACTTTTATAATTTTTTTTTTAAGATTGCATAAGTATAGCATTATACTTGCATTGACAAAGCGATCACAGGTTGTCATTTCTGATGCTAAATGAAGATTTGGCCTCCAGCTCATCAAATCATGAGGCAGAATTTCTAAGCTCCATGGCATATCCTAATTTCTGAATTTCCTAGCACACTTAGCACTTTTGAATAAAAATCATAGTTACCCAGTCATCGTTGTGGGCCAAGATTAGGTACTCTTCAGCTAATTGAAAGGAACTAGGAGTAGCAGAGTGGAATTCCCCATACATATTTTTGTTTCATTACTTACATTGCTTAACCCACATTAAGACCTAGACTATGTTTATCTGGGAGAAAAGCACAACTAGGACTCCTGCTTTTCCAGCACTTCTTTACTCAGGTCACTTGGAAAACATTCCAGCACATTCCATTTTCAATAATGTTATGATTCCACATTTGCCAAGACACCATTGTTTCTTCATCATCATCTTCATTATGTTGATGCTCTGATGTTTTCCAGGACGTTGAGGTCTCATCAGACTGTCAATGAGAGTCATCAAAAAGTTACAAAGTGACATGGAGTTTAATGTCATCCATTTTAGTCCATCTTGGTTGCTCTACTGTTCACTGAAGCTGAT